ATCCTGGAGCAAAGCCATTTGAAATCTGTTCCCTTATCAGCACCCAAAGCATGTTCTGGATCAGGTCCCCCAGTGTTCCATGGTAGATGGGTCTCCCCCTAGCCTCCACCCCCAGTGTATACCCTAGAAGAGCAGTGCTCACTTCAGAAAGGTTCTCATGAAATATTCAAATGAACACTGTCTCAGCTAAGCTATCTGTGAGCCCTAAGTTAGTGCATTTGGATTTGCGTAGAGGGGTGCTGCTCACAGAACAATGTAAGACTTCAGCTTAATAACACAAGAGTCCACATGGCCCCAGCAGACTCAGCCTACAGTGGGCAGGCCTAGAGGGATGTACAAGGGCCACAGACAGGGTGAGATTAAATGGGGGAATAAAAATAATGAAATTAACTGAGCCCTATTCCCTTCTCACTCCCTTCCATGGCAAAATCTCATTTTGAAAGGCAAGCTTGGGGGTAGGGACAGAGACAGACTCTCTGATATGCTATACATATTTGTATTACTGAGCATGCCAGACTATAAACTCCTTATGGGCAGAGGAGAGTTTTCTTCATCTTCTTATCTCTGCCAGTGCTGAATAGCACACAGGCTTCTTTTATTTTATCCATTCCTTTTTCATTTATTTATTTGTTCATTAGTTGCAATTAACAAAAATCTATTTTCTCTCCCTCCTTCTTCCTCCCATTGAAGAAAAACAAAACAAAATCCCACATTCTCATTTTGGCTTAGATAGCATATGTTTAGGGCTAGAAGGGATCTGAGAAGTTAACAAGTATAACCTTCTCATTTTATAGAAGGAACTGAAACCCAGAGAAGTTAAATGAGGTAATAAATAATGAGTGGAAAAGTCAGAAATTGAACCTAGGTCTTAAATCTCCAAATCTAGAATTTTTTCCTCCCACTATCACCTATTTGAAATAATTTCTCACCCAGTATAGATCTTGCCCATATTTTCTATAAATTTTACATAAGGGATATAATTATTGTATTATTCACATTCTAGGCAATGTAGTAAAAAACAAAACAAACAAAAAAGCTTTTTCTAATAATAAGAGCTATTCAAAAGCAGAATACTCCTTCTAGCTGCTTCCAGAGCTGTCTCTCCCTGGAGGTCTTCAAACTGGAAGACTGATTGTCACCCATACTGGAACAGGGATGCATTCTTTGCTTTGAAGTTGAACTCAATGGCCACTGAGATTCCTAACAACTCTGAAATTTTGTGATTCTGTATTTGCACAGCCCCTTTATAGCTTGTGTGGGCAACTAGGCGGAGCAGTAGATAAAGCGCTAGGCCTGCAGTCAGGAAGACTCACCTTCCTGAGTTCAATTCTGGCCTCAGACACTTACTAGCTGTGTGATCTTGGGCAAGTCACTCAACCCTGTTTGCCTCAGTTTCCTCGTCTATAAAATGAGCTAGAGAAAGAAATGGTAAACCACTAGTATCTGCCAGAAAAAAACTCCAAATGGGGTCACAAAGAGTCTGGTACAACTGCAAAACAACTGAATAACTGAATTATAGTACAGTACTTCACAGTGGCTCCGGGATGTATGCAGTGCTTGAATTAGCCCTATTTTGAAGATGAGAAAACTGAGGTTCAGAGAAGTGGCTTGCCTATGGTTATAACGTTGGTTATAACTTTCTCTTATCCTTTTGGGGATACACATATATCATTCAGGTTAAATCTATTGGTGTTTTCTCATTCTCATTATGTGACAGTTCAATATCTTTTTTTCAGTGATATATGTCCTTCCATTCTTTCATTTTTAAAATAAATTATTTAATGAATATTTCTACTGAAGTCCACTTCTGATGCCTCATTATTGCACAGCAATGAGCCTAGACCAGGCTATGCCAGCAGACTTAACAAAAAGTACTAAATGAGAAATTACTAAGCATTGAGTCCTATTTTGATAACATTATTCTAGATTTATTAAAAGGCAGATGTGGAAAGAACTTTAGAGAGTTCCTCCCTAGCTTTCCCTCTGCATTTTACAGATGTAGAAACTGAGGCCAAGAAGAAAAGACTTGCCAAGCAAGTTACTTGTTGTGCCAGGACTCAAAGTCTAGTCAAGACAATGTAATATAAACAAATTGTCCAAAGCGTGAAAAATGTCTGAGGAGTACACCATCATGAAGTAATAAGACCCGCGTGGCATTCTTGACAACTGAGAGGGAATGAGGAAAGTCTCCTTCCACAAATGCTTCTCCCTCAGAAGGCCAACAAAGGGATAGTTTTAAGCAAAAGCACTGAATTAGGAATTGGGAGACCTATCTTCTGATCCCAACTTTGCCAATAACTTACCTTGTGACTTTAAGTCAATCAGCTCTTGGGGTGGGGCAGGAGTGGGGTGGGATGGGGTGGGTGGAGGAGATGATGTTCATTTGTAAAATGAAGGTCCGTTCAAACTCCAACATTCTAAGTTCTGGGACCTCTTCCATCTTTGAGAGTCATCCTTCTTTGTTCTAATGTTCTCCTAGGCCCCTTCTAACTCTGGTGTTCTATTACCTGTGTTCTAACCTTCTGTTCACTAGACTCTAAAGGTATGTCTCCAAGCATTTCAATATTGTAAAGTCCACCTGTTAGTTCTATGTTCCACTGTCTCAGCTTATAGAGTGACTTACAGACGGTGTCCTTTGAGGCAGTAAAGATTTCTTCTACCTTTGTTATCAACTCTCACTTTTTTTGTGGGTTTGATGTCTCTGAGACATACAACTGCACAGTAGGATTTGTTTCTGTGACAGTGGGTGGGGAAGAAGGAAGAGAGAACACATACATATGTACACTCACACACACACGCACATGCACACACACACACACACACTCACAGAAAATCAAGGGAGATGACAACCACAGGAGTAACCATAACAACGATGTTACTTGAAAAATTCCTGGGAACACTTAGTACATGACATGCAAACACACACACAGAGCATGTGGTACAGTGGAAGAGCACCAGGTTTGGAGCCAGCCAACATGCATTTGAACCCTAGCTCTACCATTCACTGGCCATAGGACCCTGGTTGGCTTTCCTTACATCTCTCAACTACAAGTCTACTCATCTCTCATTGTGAGAAGTGATGTGGCCTGAATGAATGAAAATGGAGGAAAACCCCTCATGAAGCATTTCTTTTTATCCAGGCTCGATGTTACTGGAATGAACATTGAATCTAGAGTTCTACAAGATGGGATTGTGAATCTGACCTCCACTATGGGTTATTGGAGCCTGTATTTAGCCTCTCTGCGTCTCATTCTTCTCAGGTGTAAAACAGGGCTAATAATAGATATGGCACCTACCACCCAGGGTCATCCAATGAAATAACATATGTAAAGCACTTTCTAAATTGTCGCCAAGCATTTATTAAGTCTTTACTGTGTATGCCAGGCACTGCGTTAAAAGTGGGGGATAGAAAGAGAGACGAAACATAGCCTCTGCTGTGAAGAAGTTCACAATTTAATGGAGGAGACAATATGCGAACAACTATGTATGAAGAGGGCAGCGAGGTGGCACAGTGGATGGAGCCCTGGGCCTGAGAAAGGAAGACTCACCCTTCTGAGTTCAAATCTAGCCTCAGACACTTACTAGCTGTGTGACCCTGGGCAAGTCACTTCACCCTGCTGGCCTCAGTTTCCTCATGTGTAAAATGAGCTGGAGAAGGAAATAGCAAACCACTCTAGCATCTTTGCCAAGAAAACCCCAAATGGGGTCATGAAGAGTCAGACACAACTGAACAACAATGTACAAATAAAATATGTATAAGACAAATTGGAAGGAAGGCAGTAGCATTAAGGAGAATCCAGAATAGCTTCTTGCGTAAAGTGAGATTTCAGGTGAGACTTGAAGGAAGGAGGGAGAAGATTCCAGCATGGGGAAGAGCTGGTGAAAATCCACTGAGTGGGTAGATGGAATGTCTTACAAGAGGAACACCCAGGTGGCCAAAGTCACTGGATCAGAGGGTAACGTGGTGGGGGTTGGAGAGGAGGTATAAAGTACCAGATGAGTAGAAAAGCAGGAAGAGGACGTAAAGTCTTATGAAAGGCTTTAAATCCTAACAAAGGATTTTATTTTTGATCTTGGAGGTAACAGGGGGTGGGGAGGGGAGAGGGGGGACAGGAAATGGTTAGACCTGTACTCCAGGAAGATCACTTTGATAGCTATTGGGAAGATGGACTAAGTGACTCAGTATACAGAATGCTGGGCCAGGAGTCAGGAAGTCTTGGGTTCATATCCATTCTCAGACACTTAACTAGCTATGTGACCCTGGACAAGTCCCTGTGATGTTTAAAAGTTTGAGAGATAATTCCTGGGTTTGTTTTATTAATAATGCTAGCATTTTATTAATAAAAGAGGTCCAGGGGCACTCTGGAATGCCAAAGACCCTCATGGTGATGGGCTCACAGCTTATATACCCTTGGAAAAGCTAGTGTTTCAAAGGCTGGCAATTAACTGATTAACAAGTAATGAGAGAATGAATATTACAATGAGGGGCTGGACCTATTCTAATGAACTTTGATTGTGTCATTTACTTTTAAATTGCCCAGCCCTGGGCAATCTATTCAAAGAATTTATCCCCACCCAAACCTGTGTAGAACACAATGGGCTTCCCTACCTTAGATTAAATTCCTTGTAAGGTCAGGGTGAGATCTGACCCAATTGAGGACAAAGTTAATTCAGCCTTCACAGATTGAACTTTTAAAATGAGGACTTTAGAAAAAGCAGGGAACTCTGGATCTCCCCAAATCATTGGTTATTAATGACCATTTCTCTCACTGCTATCTGCCTCAGTTTCCTCATCTATAAAATGGTGATAATAACATCACCTACCTCCCAGTGTTGTTGTGAAGCCCAAATGAGATCATAATTGCAAAGTGCTTAGGCCAGTGCCTGGCACATAGTAAGCCCTATATAAATGCTACTTATCATTGTTAGGTAGGGAAATATTTGAGGCAAGGATACCCACCAAAAGGCTACTACTGCATTGGTCCACGGGCAGAAATAATAAGGGCTTGCACCAGGGTAGATGCAGCTTCAGAGGAGTGAAGGGAATGTATGAGAGAGATACTATAAAGAGAGGATCAACAGGTCTTAGAACACTATGTAAATATCACCGATTGTTACTTTGTTCACAAAATCAAATCCTGCATAACTTGCCTCTTTTGTATATACTTATATGTTATGTTATGTGTACATGTGTCCTGATATGGAAACTCCTTTGAGGACAAGAGCTGGGCTATTTGTGTCAGCGTGTGGCACATGGGAGATGCTTAGTAAGCCCTTACTGATTGATTGACTGATATCTTCTAGGGTCTGTGAGCAAATGAAGAAAGCCTTTTGTAAACTGTAATGTGGACGATGTCACTGTGAGTTATTGCTGGGTTTCTCTTTGTGGGAGGCGGAGCTAGGGTCAAAGGCCATCTGAAGAGAGGCTGCGCTCCAGGTAACGTCAGGGTAAGGACCAAATAAAAAATAAGCCTTTTTATACCAAATATTAATCACGCAAAAGATGTAAAATCCTGCAAAAACCAGATGATACAGGTGTGTCACACCCCATTTCCCTGAAGGCATCAATATTCAGTCACTGGCATTGATGTCTGAAAACAGCTGACAGTTCAAGGCATATTTTTGCAGGACAACTGGCTAAGATCAGATGTTACACTGACTACCATGGGAATCCCTCCCCACCTTATGAGGGGGATGGACTGAATGACACAGTATGAATGTTTAATGTTGCTACAATCCCAGACGTGTACACAGGGCTACAAAATGAATAAAAATGGGTCAAATAAACGTAAGCCATTTTTGAGGGCTTTACTCTCCCCTAAGCACTAAGCCTGGGGCTCTTGGAAGGAGCTTGATGGGTGGGAGAGGCAGGTCATGAAATGTTAGATCTGGAAGAGACCTTAGAATAGAACAGCTGAAAAAAAAAAACCTTAGAATATAGAATGTTAGAACGCAGAATGCAGAAAGTCAGAGCCAGAAGGGAATTTAGAACATATGTCAGAACTGCAATTTTATTAGATAACATTTTTATTATATAGCACCATTATAGTATAGAACACTTTAAAACTTGCAAAGCACTCAATATACATTATTGCATTTCATCCTCATAACACCCCCTTTGAGGTAAGCTCTACAAGGGCAGCTAGGTGGTACAGTGGATAGAATTCCTGGCCTGGTGTCAGGAAGACTCATCTTCATGAATTCAAATCTGGCCTCAGATACTTACGAGCTGTGTGACCCTAGGCAAGTCACTTCACCCTGTCTGCCTCAGTTTTCTTATCTATTAAATGAGCTAGAGAAAGAAATGGCAAACCACTCCAATATCTCTGCTAAGAAAACCCCAAATGGGATCACAAAGAGTAGGCCATGACTGAAAAGTGACCAAACAACAATTACAAGTATCATTATTTCCATCATATAGATGAAGAGATCCAGGCTCAGAGAGCTGTGTGACTTTCCTATGGTCACACAGCTCATAAATGTCAGGGGTAGGCTTGGAACCCACGTCTCTCCTTCCAAAATAATTTTTTTTTCTGTTACATCTTAGTGCTTCTTGAAAGGACTCTCAAAATGATCTAAAGTGTTGATCTGGGAAAGGTTCTTTCCACAATGGCAGACAGCAATCATTCAGGATGCTGACAGGTACAGTCTAATTTGCAAGAAAAGAAAGGCTTTTAACAAGGTGTTTTTTTTTCAAGCCAGATGCCCTATATTTGGTTCAAAATATATAAATCATACAATCTCTGAGGTGGTAGGGACTTCAAAATTCATCTAGTGCAATTCTTTAGCTCTCTCACATCCCAATAAGTCATCATAGATTTTCTATTTGAAAGTAGTATTGGGAAACTCAAATATCTTGGGAAAAAATCCATCCCCCTGCTGAGATAGCACAGCTTCACTAGAGCTTTTCTCCATAGGTCTTGGTTCTACTTTCTGGGACTAAGCAGGAAAAATCAAAGTACTCTTTCATATGAAAATTCTTCAAATATACGAAGAAAGCTGATGATAGAGTAGACAACAGGCTGGGTTTGGAAGTCAGAAGACTTGAGTTGGGGAATGTTCTTCCAACTTACTATTAGTGTGACTCTAGGCAAATCACTTGACCTGCAGTTTCCCCTGCTTTAGAATGAAGGAGTCGGGCAAGAGGATTTTTAAAGCCCCTTTCCATTTGCCATACCAATGATCCTATGTCCTCCATCCCAGTCTTCTGTTCTCCAGATTAAACACACCAAGTTCCTTCAGCTGATTCCCACATGATGTGGTTCTGAATCCTGTCACCATCCTGGTCACCTTCCTCTTAGCCTACTGCAGCTTGTAATGTCCTTCCTCAAAATTAGCACCCAGAACTGAATAGGATATTCTACATATGTTCTGCTAGAAACATGACTTTCAAGGTGCTTAAAAATCATCCAGTCCAACCCTTTCAAAGAAAACTGAAGCTCAGAGGGTTAGGTGACTTGTCCAGAGTCACACAGGTAGTAAGTGATTGGCAGAATGAAGATTCAAACCCATGTCCTCTCTCCATTGTACCACACTGCCTCCCCAAAAACGTGAAGATGGAGAGACTTCCCTTGCAAGTGATGGCCTGCGGGCTGAGAGGATTGGTCTTAATTTCATATCATTACAGGATTTTTACGGACTTTCACACGCCACAGACTAAAAGAGAGGCCCAAGGTTGGAAGCCAGGTTCTGATCTTATCTTCCCTCTGTCACCCATGGCCTTGCTAGCTTCAAGCCCTTCTCTCCTTTTTTCCCATTTCTCTGTCTGTTTGTTTTCTCAAATATAGGGTTAATGACACTTAGCTGCCATATGGGGGTGATGTGAGGATCGGCTAATTAATGTTTGTAAAAGCCTTTGATGCTGAAAAGCTTGCTGAATAATTGTACGTTAATAAAATGTTAAAACAACGAACGCTCTATCAGGCCAGCAAAGGTTTCGTTAAAAAGTGGTTTTCTCCATCCAACCTTGAACTGGAAACATTTCCTGTCACAGTAAACCCTCATTAATTTAGATCCACCTAATTCAGAATGTTTGCTCATCTGACCTGGGCTGGGCAGGAGTTTACCTTCACTTTTGCTCTGGGGAAACTGTTTGCTAAGCAAATTAATAACATAAACAAGATGGGAGGGGACATGTTTAACCATCCTAAGAGAACAAATGGTTTGAAAGCACTTATGCATATTAATTGTTTGTATGAAAAGGACACCACTAATTAAAAATGCCTCTCATCTCCATTCCTTAAAGTAGGTTCCCTCATTCATTCGACAAACATCTATTAAGTTGCTACTCTGTGTAATGCACTAGGCTGAAGCAGCTCTGAGATAAATAAAGCTCAGCCTCTGCCTTGGAGAAGCTTACAGATTAGAAGGAAGGAGAAAACATAGCCAGAAATGGAATCACAGAAGCCAGGGGCCTCAGAAAGCAGCTACAGATGAGGAATCCCAGCTACATCATCCCTAATGAGTGGCCTCTGGCCTATGCCGGGAATCGCTACCTCACAAAGCAATCCACTCCACTTTGAGATGCCTCGTACTATTATAAATAATAATAAAAGGACATTCATTCTAGGGCTTTAATGTTTCCCAAGCACTTTTCAAAATGTGGTCTCATTTGAACTTCATAACAAGTCTGTGACGAAGGCATATCACACATTGCTGTCTTCATTTTAGAGATGAAAAAACAGAGAGAAGTCAGTTTCCCAAGGTCATGTAGCTGCTGGTAAATATGAAAGGGGCGATTCAAACCCAGCACTTACTGACTCCGAGCTCAGTACTCTAACCATCAGGCCATTCTGCTTCCTTCTGCTTTCCTTAGTCCATGAGCACCTTGAGGGCAGGGCCTTTTTTTTTCTTTCTTTGTATGCCTGACACATAGTAGGGGCTTAATAAATGTTACTTGATTTACTCGAGTAATTTCCATTCATTCTGTCTAGTTCTCCCTTCCAGGGCCAAGCAGAACAAGTCTAATCCGTCTTCCATCTAAGTCAAATACATAACCCCCCACTAAAGCCTTTTCTCTCCAGGTTAAACATCCCTAGTTCTTTAGCTGATCTGTCTCTGGCATGGTCTCCAGTTCCTGGACCATCCCAGCTATCCCTCTCAGAATGATTTATTAATGCCCTTCTCACAGATGTTTCTAAAAGACTGCTCTGGGTGTGCCTTAATTTCTTTTCCTGAGGGATAGGGAGCAGGGAAGACCAATTGTAATAGGCATGGAAGGCTGTGTGGACATGCCTGACACACCCTACATAGTTGATCCTTCCTAAAATGTGGTGCCCAATGTTGAGCACAATAAATATACAAGTAAGAATAAACATATACAAGTAATATGAAATGCTATGTTCGCTAATGTGTAGGACTTGTTTGGTGGGATGAGTAGTCCAGTTGGCCAAAGTACATTCGTGATCTCATTGATGTAGGTGTTTCCTCCAATAACACATGCAGCAACTCACCCATCCCTGCCTACCTGAGTGACTCTTGCTCATGCCCTCCCATAAATTTAACCTAGGAGGTCCACGCAACAGGCCAGGACTTTTCTTGAATTCCCTTGACATCGGGAGGGAGGACACATTAGGACTAAGCAAATACAGAACGATAGTTTCTAAAGAAACTCAGGAAAGAGGCAACCCACCTAAAGGTCAAAGATCTGAGTGTCATTTCATGTTGTGTCCACAGTGGAAGTGATGCAGCATGCATGCTGAAGAGGAAAGAGGAGAGGGGTAAGGAAATGTCCTTCTGAGGCCCAGCTATGCCCCATGAGTCCAACCCCCAGAAGCCTTAATCTACCCATCTGTAAAGTAGCATGAAGACTACTATGACAAAAACACTTAGTCAACTGTATAGTAGCATACAGATAGGAATCATCTGAGCATAATGTCCTTGGAACCAGTGAGGCGAAGTGTCAACAGCAAAGCCTAGGGCCAGATGAAGAAGATCACAAATCAATCAAGGAGCATTTATTAAGTGCCTACTGTGTGCCAGGCACTGTGCTAAGCTCTAGAGTTACAAACACCATAAATGAAACAATCTGTACTCATAAGGGAAGCTTAAAGAGACCTCAGATGCTGTCTAATCCAATCCCCTCACTATAAAAGAGGTAATTTAAACAGCTTTCAAATTTACAGAGAACTTTATACATTGTATTTCATTTGCTCTTCATAACAACCCTGTAAGGTAGGTGCTATTATGGTGTCCATTTTACAGATAAGTACATTGAAACCCAAAGAGGTTAAATGACTTAACCAAGGTCTGATGGATAGTCAGTGTTAGAGTTAAGTTCTCTAATGCCAAACTGCTCCATATTGTTTCTATAGGAAGAGAGTTAGAAGACAGAAAACATACGCAAGATAAGCCACCAAACTCACCACCTTGGGGGAGGTTAAACTCAGGAGTTAGGTGGGAGAATTTGCCAGAGAAAGAGACAGGGTTGGGGTGTAGCACATCAAGCCCAGGAAGCAGAAAACTTGGGTAAAGGGCTGTGCTCAGGTATTCTGGGGGTCTGGCCAAAGCTGTGCTGGTGAAATCAAGGAAAGCCCATAGGATTACTTCAGCTGAGGCCAGCCTGAGCATGGCAAAATGCAGTACATTTCTAAGTTGTAAACTCCTAATCATTGCCTAGACTCTAGGGCCTAGAGTGTGACCCCCAACACCTTTCTCTTTTCTCACCTGGCACAGGGGAACATTAACAGGTGAAAGGCAAGCAGTTTCCCTGGAAGGAGTAGAAGAACCCAGCGGGGGTGAGGCAAGGTGATGATTCAGAGCTGGGACTCACCTGAAGATGGACTGAGAAGTCCAGGCAGGGCCAGAATCTCACATCCCCACCCCCAGCACCTCCCACTGACTAGGAAGGAAGCTGAGATGCCCCACTAAAAAGTGTGGAGAATCTCATATCAAAGCAGGAGGAGAGAAACTATTTTAGATGTGAGGAAAATGAATAAACTCAGTTTGCCACCATTAACTCTCTGAAAACCAGAGCAGCTCTCTCCTTAAGCATTCAAAGAAAAACTGAATATAGAACTCTAGAGCTAGGAGACACCTTAAAAAAACAAACAAACAAACTGTCAGACCATGGAACACAGAACATCAGAAAGGTTGCCGAACATAAGCTGTTAGTACATGATATAATCAGATCTTAGATTTAGCTCTGGAAGGGAGCCCCCCAGATACCTTCTATAGGACCCCCTCATTTTACAGATGAGGAAACTAAGGCTCAGACAAATTAACTGACTTACCCAGGATCACACAGCAAGTGTCAAAGACAGGTTTGGAGCCCAGGATTTCCTCACTCCAGGTCTAACTGTTTACTACATCATGCTGCCTCATGTTTGAATAAGAAGCCTCAGGATATACACCATTGGCACAGAGAATGTGTCATTTGGACATGACCTCAGAGACCAATAAGTCCAATTCCTTAATTTTACAGATGGGGAAACAAGCAAAGAGAAAGGAAGTTACTTGCTTGGGGTGATTCAATTATTAAACGAAATCCTTTTCTCCAACATTCCTAAGAGTCATGCCTGGATTCAAAAATCAACAAAGATTTTTTATTTAAAGAACCCCCAAAAAGTAGAATGACAGAGGGGAGAAAATCAACCTGGAAGTCAGGAAGACCTGTGTCCTGGTGCTCCTTCTTGTACATGCTAGCTGCCAGACTTTGGGCAAATGATGCAACATGTCAGTGCCCCAGGCGATGGTCTAAGCCTAAGGAGTGGAGCCGTCAGCCACTGATCTCAATCCTCTAGCACAGTGCCTGGGCACAGCCGAGCTCTATGCTTAACTGATTGATTAGGGGACAGACTTTCCCTCAGCAGTCATTCCCCACATTAATGAAACCACAAGTTTTTCTCCCCTTCCCAAACCTCACCCCAAAACAACATGTTTAAAAAGTTTATTTGTTATATTAAGGATACTGGTGAATTTTATTACTTAAATATATTAGATACCCTTTCTCCTTTGGCAGCTGAGGTTATAATTCCCAATATCTCTTCTGCCCAACAAAGACAAATACTAGGTATAAGGGTAAAGGAGAGCACTGTCACCACTATCTCTCCTTTTCTTTCCCCTTTTTCTTCCTTTCTTTTTTCTTCCTTTCATTCTTTTTCTTTTCTCCTTCCTTCCTTTTTCTTCCTTCCCTATACTTTTTCTCTCTCCATTTTCTCCCTTTCTTCCTTCCTTTTCTTCCCTTTCTCCATTTTTTTCTCTTCCTTCCTCCCTCCCTTCCTTCTTCCCTTTCTTCCTTCCTTCCTTCATTTTCTTTTCCTTTCCTTCCTTTTTTCCTTTTCTTCCCACCCTTTCATCTCTCCACTTCCTCTCTTCCTCCCTTCCTGTACCTCCTTTTTCTTTCACTTCTCTTTGTTTCTCTTCCTTCCTTCTTTCCCTTCCCTCCATTTCTCTCTCTCTCTCTCTCTCTCTCTCTCTCTCTCTCTCTCTCTCTCTCTCTCTCTCTCTCTCTCTCTCTCTCCCCCCATTTCTATCTTTCTTTTTCTTTTTATTTTCCTTCCCTCCTTCCTTCTTGGACCTTGAGTAAGTCACTTAAACTCTCTCAGTCTCAGTTTCCTCATCTATAAAATTAGGGAATTGTACTGAACAACCTCTAAGGTTCCCTCCAGCTATTTGCCTGCTATGTGCTGGACACTGTGGTAGCATACACAAACAAAAATGAGATAATCTCTGACCTCAAATAATTTCGAATCTGCCCAGAGAGACAACATGTACATGTGTAAGTCTGCACAAAACAAACATTTCCAAGGCTGTGGGCAGAGGGAAGCCCTAGCAGTTGAGGGGCTCAGGAAAAGTTCTGCGTAGAATATGGCATTTGAGCTGAGCTTTGGATGAAACTAGAGGAGCTTCACTAGGGGACCCAGTGGATAGCAGGCTGAAGCCAGAGTCAGGAGGACCTGAGTTCAAGTGTAGCCTCAGATTTTTAGCAGCTGTGTGTTTTGTCATCTCTATAAAATTGAGATAATAATTACATTTGCCTCATACAGTTATTGTGATGATAAAATGATATAATATCTGTCAGTCAAGAATCACTTACCTGTGAAGTGCCATACTATGTGCTAAGCACTAGGGATACCGAAAATAAAAAATAAAAAAGGCAAAAGTCCCTACTCTCAGGGAGCTCACAGCCTAATGGAGAAGACAACATGAAAACACCTATTACAAACAAGTTATAGAGGAGATAAATCGGAGATAATCAACAGAAGGAAGAGCGCTAGAATTAAAGAGCATATAGGAAAGGCTCTTTTTTGTGAGGCAGTTAAGGTTAAGTGACTTGCCCAGGGTCACACAGCTAGTTAAGTGTTACGCATCAGAGGCTGGATTTGAACTCAGGTCCTCTTGACTCCAGGACCAGTGCTCTATCCACTGAGCCAGCTAAGAAAGGTTCTCTGTAAAAAGTGAGATTTGAGATGGGACTGTGAAAGAAGCCAGGGCTTTGCAAACCTTGAAGTATTCCATACATGCTAGCTATTGTATGTTAGTAAAATATTAATACTATTATCAATAATAATAAAACAGCTAGCATTTATATAAAGCTTTTAGGTTTGTAACGTGCTTTGTTTATTAACTATGATCCTCACAATTTCCCTAGATCAGGGGAGAGTAATCTGCAGCCTCGAGGCCACATGTGGCCCTCTAGGTCCTCAAGTGCAGCCTTTTAAATCTGAACTTCACAGAACCAATACTTTCATTAAGGAGATTTGATATTAAGGAGCCTAGGTACTATTATTATCATCATTTTACAGGTGAAGAAACCGAGGCTGAAAGATGTTAAGTGACTTGCTCAGGAGTCACACAGCTAAGTACTTGAAGCAGAATTTAAACTCAGGTCTTCCTACTTCCAAGTCCGACACTCTATCCACTATGCCACCTACCTGCCATCATCGCCATCATCATCATCATCAATCTTGTTTCCTATGGGCTAGACACTATGATAAGTGTTTTTCCATTTTTGCCTCATGTGATCCTCCCAACAACTCTGGGAGTTAGGTGCCATTATTATCCTATTTTACAGGTAAGGAAACTGAGGCAGACAGAGGTTAAGTGACTTGCCCATGTCACCAAGCTAGAAAGTATCTGAGGTTGGATTAAGATTCAGGTTTTTCCTTACCACTTGCTATTTAACCTGATAGAGTTATTGTGTAGAAAACATTTTGTAAACTATGAGGTGTTGTGAAAACGTGAGTTCCTATGCCAATCCTGCGTGACACAAAATGGTTTATTTAATGTCTGTTAAGAAGGGGCTATGGCAGGTGGGAGGATTAGAGAGCCCATTCACTTTGCCCAATCCATAGGTAGTCCCCAGTAAGACGAGTTTCCCAGCAATACTACCAGCATTTAAAAATCTGGAGAAAGCTTTACCCTGAGACCACATGCTCCAGACCTTCCTCTTTAACATTCTTACTACAACCATCTTCATTCAGACTTTGGCTTTTCTCATTTATTCTTTTAAAAGATCCTCTTAATCAGTCCTCCTGCCTCCATTCTATCTCCTCCCCAGTCTTCCTCATACACTACGCTGACCATGCCATTCCACTAATTAAAACTTTCAGGGTTGAAATAACCCATTGCCTGGGAATAACATTTAAACTCCTGGTTCTGGCATTCAAGGCCTCTGCAAAGTGGTTCCAGATCCTTTTTTCATACTACTCCCCATTACTTTCTCAACATTTCAGACAAAATAAGATAGGTCTGCTCCCTCTCTGGTCCTGCTGTCTCC